TCTACAAAATGCTATCAGATGTAATTACGACTTTTTTTTCTAATATTACATTTTTACAATATTTCTAATAACAAAATTTATTATGCTCAACTTGACATTACCCGCGCTGTATTTATTTAATGATAAAAATCACTGTGTTTTTATTAAATTTCCACTTCTTATATTACAATTTCTTTGGAAAAATTAAAAGAAATAAAGAAATGAAACAAGTCACAGCGAAATTTAACAGAAAGCTTTAATTATATTTACATTAATGATAAATTTTAATGTCATCGTGGTAAATAGACACAGTTGTAATCATTGCTGCATATACTTACATATGCTGTTGACAGAAAGACAGACGAACTGACTGTCTAACTGGGATGTACTCAAACCCTGCCTGCTGTTTTGTTGTTTTATTGTTATTCTACATGTTATTGTTATATTTTTGATGTTACACTTCTTACATGTCAAATTTCAATTTAAAAAACATAGATACCAGGGATGGTAACTACAGTACTATTGCACTTTACTCAGTATATTCACAAATTGCAGAACTAAACTAGAATTTAACCTGAACTGACTATGAACTAAACTAAAACTGAACTAGAACATAACTAGAACAGAACTCGAACAGAAAAGAACAGAACTAGAATAGAACTAGAACAGAACTAGAACAGAACTAGAACAGAACTAGAACAGATCCAGAACAGAACTAGAACAGAACTAAAACTGAACTAGAACTGACCTAGAACTGACCCTAGAACTGAACTAGAACTGGACTAGAACTGAACTAGAACTAGACTTGAACTGAACTAGAACAGAACTAGAACTGAACTAGAACTAAACTAGAATTGAACTAGAACTGAACTAGAACTAGAACTGAACTAGAACTGAACTAGAACTGAACTAGAACTGAACTAGAACTGAACTAGAACTGAACTAGAACTGAACTAGAACTGAACTAGAACTGAACTAGAACTAGAACTGAACTAGAACTGAACTAGAACTGAACTAAACTGAACTAGAACTGAACTAGACATGAACTAGAACTGAACTAGAACTGAACTAGAACTGAACTAGAACTGAACTAGAACTGAACTAGAACTGAACTAGAACTGAACTAGAACTGAACTAGAACTGAACTAGAACTGAACTAGAACTGAACTAGAACTGAACTAGAACTGAACTAGAACTGAACTAGAACTGAACTAGAACTGAACTAGAACTGAACTAGAACTGAACTAGAACTGAACTAGAACTGAACTAGAACTGAACTAGAACTGAACTAGAACTGAACTAGAACTGAACTAGAACTGAACTAGAACTGAACTAGAACTGAACTAGAACTGAACTAGAACTGAACTAGAACGAACTGAACTAGAACTAAACTAGAACTGAACTAGAAGTGAACTAGAACTGAACTAGAACTGAACTAGAACTGAACTAGAACTGAACTAGAACTGAACTAGAACTGAACTAGAACTAAACTAGAACTGAACTAGAACTGAACTAGAACTGAACTAGAACTGAACTAGAACTGAACTAGAACTGAACTAGAACTGAACTAGAACTGAACTAGAACTGAACTAGAACTGAACTAGAACTGAACTAGAACTGAACTAGAACTGAACTAGAACTGAACTAGAACTGAACTAGAACTGAACTAGAACTGAACTGGAACTGAACTGGAACTGAACTAGAACTGAACAAGAACTGAACTAGAACTGAACTAGAACTGAACTAGAACTTAACTAGAACTGAACTAGAACTGAACTAGAACTGAACTAGAACTGAACTAGAACTGAACTAGAACTGAACTAGAACTGAACAAGAACTGAACAAGAACTGAACTAGAACTGAACTAGAACTGAACTAGAACTGAATTAGAACTGAACCAGAACTGAACTAGAACTGAACTAGATGTGAACTGGAACTGAACTAGAACTGAACAAGAACTGAACTAGAACTGAACTAGAACTGAACTAGAACTGAACTAGAACTTAACTAGAACTGAAGTAGATGTGAACTATTAGTGAACTAGAACTGAACTGGAACTGATCTTAAGCTAAGCTAGAACCTAGAAGTTTTTACTTTTCCAATTTTCCATACCTGATAGAGAGTATGACGGAAAGATGGAGAGAAAGAGTTAGAGTACACGAAAGACAAAACATGACTTTTTCCTTTATTTTCTTTTTTGACATTTTTACTCTTTTTTAAAGTTCTTGTTTACACAATTGTTGTTATAATTGTGGGTTAAAGTTTTTATACAATTTACTTGATGCTTTATTTTTTTCATTTTTAACTTTATTATTCCATAAATTTTAATATTTTTTTTCTCATTTCTGGTTTGAATTTAATCATCTAAGAATCTAAAGGGAATCATGTATGTTTGAATGAATGAAGTAACGTCTGTAAGTAAGTACAATTTCCGTAAATTGTTTTGTTGGTACTACGTAGGCTTTGACATGAAGTACTACAATAACAATAATAACAACAATATACGGTTCTCTTGTAGGTGTAACAAATGTCATATACAAGTAAAATGTAATAAAAAGAAAAAAAATTAATTCTACCTTATACAGCCATCTTTATTTTTGTATTTATACATATATATTTTATGCGTGCTTTTTCTATTAGAACTTTTTTTTCCACATTACATACAGATATTTGTTTTATTTTTATAAGGAAAATAAAATAATTGAGTACATGCACAAAAGTCATGGTTTTATAAGACGTGTATAAAATTTCTATGATTATGTTAATAATATTGTAACGGTCTTTTATTATTTTAAATATGTATGTTAAAAAGTTCTTTTTTGTGTTAATAAAATTAAGAAATTGTTTGTTATATAGTAATTTATTTATACATATCAAAGGAATGTCTATTATGTGTCATAATAGTGACAGAACAGCTGTCAAAAATCTATTATTTTGGCTAAATTAAAGGGAACAAAAGGGGTTTGCGTTTTCGAAATTATATGAAAATTATAAGGAGGTTGTTTTACATTGGAAATAATGTTAATTTGCAAAATTGTAGGACCAAAATTATATTCTCAAACTTTTTCACAATCAGCTTTATTATCACTTGCTCAGCATAAACACACAAACGGATTCTTACTCAGCGCAGATAGTTCAGTTCTAGTTCTGTTCTAGTTCTGTTCTAGTTCTGTTCTAGTTCTGTTCTAGTTCTGTTCTAGTTCTGTTCTAGTTCTGTTCTAGTTCAGTTCTAGTTCTGTTTTAGTTCTGTTCTAGTTCTGTTCTAGTTCTGTTCTAGTTCTGTTCTAGTTCAGTTCTAGTTCTGTTCTAGTTCTGTTTTAGTTCTGTTTTAGTTCTGTTCTAGTACTGTTCTAGTTCTGTTCTAATTCTGTTCTAGTTCTGTTCTAGTTCTGTTCTAGTTCAGTTCTAGTTCAGTTCTAGTTCAGTTCTAGTTCAGTTCTAGTTCAGTTCTAGTTCAGTTCTAGTTCAGTTCTAGTTCAGTTCTAGTTCAGTTCTAGTTCAGTTCTAGTTCAGTTCTAGTAGTTAGTCAGTTCTAGTTCAGTTCTAGTTCAGTTCTAGTTCAGTTCTAGTTCAGTTCTAGTTCAGTTCTAGTTCAGTAGTTCAGTTCTAGTTCAGTTCTAGTTCAGTTCTAGTTCAGTTCTAGTTCAGTTCTAGTTCAGTTCTAGTTCAGTTCTAGTTCAGTTCTACTTCAGTTCTACTTCAGTTCTAGTTCAGTTCTAGTTCAGTTCTAGTTCAGTTCTAGTTCAGCTCTAGTTCAGTTCTAGTTCAGTTCTAGTTCAGTTCTAGTTCAGTTCTAGTTCAGTTCTAGTTCAGTTCTAGTTCAGTTCTAGTTCAGTTCTAGTTCAGTTCTAGTTCAGTTCTAGTTCAGTTCTAGTTCAGTTCTAGTTCAGTTCTAGTTCAGTTCTAGTTCAGTTCTAGTTCAGTTCTAGTTCAGTTCTAGTTCAGTTCTAGTTCAGTTCTAGTTCAGTTCTAGTTCAGTTCTAGTTCAGTTCTAGTTCAGTTCTAGTTCAGTTCTAGTTCAGTTCTAGTTCAGTTCTAGTTCAGTTCTAGTTCAGTTCTAGTTCAGTTCTAGTTCAGTTCTAGTTCAGTTCTAGTTCAGTCTAGTTCAGTTTTAGTTCAGTTTCAACTACCACAATATCGTTTGTTGGCGTAACCATTCACTCGGAAATGGGCCACAGAATTAGGCTTGTCCATTCGTTATATTTTGTCAAAACAATCTGAATAATTGACAGCCAATTATACAGAAGTAGCTTTAACAAATTGATCGCTATCAGCTGTCAAAGTTCGAAAATCCCTATTAGACCGTGTAATAGAATAAGTTTGACCTTTTGACCCTTTTCATATGAAGAATTCTGATAAAGTATTTTATGTAACTAATGTTTTTCGAAAATACTTAAATATCGAATGGCTTTAGAAAAGCTTAGTACCTTAGGCATTAGACAACAATTATGAAATGGTTTTAAAAGACTGGACTAGACAAAGTTTAGAAACCATTAGGTGGTTTAAAACTAAAACTAGCAGGTTCTTTTTTTTAAAGATTTTCTTCATTAACATAATATTTAATGTTAAACAAACGAATAATTAATCATTTAATTATAACAAGATTTATGAGTATTGAAACCAAACAGCAAAAACAACATTTAGTTTTACAAGTGTTTAATTATAAATAATAATAAATTCTTTTAAAAGAAATAACAAATTTTGTTAAAATAAGCTTCGAAACCGGTTGTTAATTCTTTAATTAAATTATTGTTTAGGAGACGAAAACACTTAAGAAAGACTTGGCTTTTAAGGCTTAAAAGTTAAATGAAGCGTTTTATTTTTAGTTTAGTGATTTTGTGTTGAAAAGCCTATTGAGGACCAGGGGTAGGGGGGCCAATAGGTTAAGAATATAGACAATAGAATTGGTAAAATAAACAAAATACTTAACCTTAACACAAATGTAAAAAAACCCTTATTTCGCAAGTAAAATAATAAGAAAATGGCAATAAGTAGATTTCTAGTAAAATTATCATACTCACCACAAACATCCAACCAACCCTCAACACGGCTGGGGTAGTTGATTTCGGTAGCACGATTAAAATAAGTACGCCGGCCCATTGTTTAAACTGATTTTTGTTTTCTTGTTTTATTATTCAAAAAGTATGATGATGAAACTGATGGAAAATGATGAAGATGAAAAGCCGAGATGATGATTAAATCGAAATACACCTTTTATTATTAAATCACCACTCTCTTACTTAACTCTTAGTTAAGCTCTCTTTTGGACACACTTTTTCCTCTCTCTTTGGTTTTATTTATTCTCTCCCTTTTTGCTTGTTAGCAGTAATTTAGTTATACTCAACACAACATGGATGCTGTTTAGTTCTAACGGTAATTTTTCTTGTTTTGTTTTGCTTTTAACAATCCAGATGATTTTGCCTTAGAGTTGTATTTTCTTAAATTTTTGACAGATGGTTGGTGTGGGGTGATTCAGGTGGTTGTTTTGCTTTTGATTTTTTATTAATTTTTCTTTAAATTTAACATTTTATTACAAATTTTGTTTAAAGTATCATGAGAGGGTGAAAATTATGAGAGATTTTTTTTACAAATATTTCGTTATTCCAGAGAGATTCTTCTGTTATTTTATTAAAAAATTTTCTTTAATTAATTACACACAATTTACAAAACATTTTTTTGGTTAAAATAATCTGTAAAAAAAAAAGAAAAATTACAGAAATTAATAACAATTTAATAAAGAAGCAAAAGTTTTGTTCCAACTGTAAGCCACTTTGCTGAAACATGAAAAAGCTTAAGTTTTAAACACTACTGTAACTAATGTAATCTAATATTATTTGTTTAATAACTTTAACAAATATTTATTTAATAAATTTACAAAAATATAAATAAATTATTTCTCATTTACATCTGTATTAGATTTTGTAAGAAATCTATACTTTTGCTGGATTATTTAACAAAAAAAAAAAACAGCTGCTTATTTTCTATACAATTGTTTAAACAAATAGATTTTTTAAATAATATATTTCAACCATAACACAGGTCAACAAATTTTTAACCCAAAGTTTACTTTTCTAAAACATTAATAGTTTCAAACTTTAGCTAAAGTTATATCCAAGAAAGTAGAAGTTATAACAGCGTTTAAGCTTTTATATTAAACTTGACAGATTAAGCTTTCTGCTGACATAACAAACTTTGTAAATAAAGGGCTCAAGACGCTATATATATAAACAATGTGGACTTGTCATTTTGGGTCTTAAATTTTAATTAAATTGTTTCAAACTTTAGCTAAAGATAACTCCAAGAAAATAGAAGTTATAACTGTGATTAAGCTTTTATATTAAAGTTGACAGATTAAGCTTTCAGCTGACTTAGCAAACTTTGTAAATAAAGGGTTCTTGGCGCTAAATATATAAACAATGTGGACTTGTCATTTTGGGTTTTAAATTTTAAATAAATTGTTTCAAACTTTAGCTAAAGTTATATCCAAGAAAAGTTATTACTGTGATTAAGCTTTTATATTAAAGTTGACAGATAAAGCTTTCAGCTGACATAACAAAACTTTGTAAATAAAGGGCGCTAAAAGCACTGTGGACCAGTTTTTTCGGTCTCTGTTATATCTCAAATATGACTTCTTTTTCTCTCTTTATGACAAGTTAACTCGAAAACCTGAAATTTAGCTTTTCAACTTTTTTTTCAAATTTTGTTGTCCTGTGTAATTGTTTATATATCTTATTAGCAGTTGTGCAAATTGATTACATTTTCTTTAACTTAATTTTTATAGAAAAAATCACGTTTTTATAGTAAATGTTCATGTTTTTTAAATTTGTATTTTTGTCAATTCAAGCAAAATGCAAATTAGCTTTTATTATAGCAGCGTGCATTAACTAAAACCATAAATAAATTAGTAATTTAACGTATTTGGTTTGAACCATAAATTAGCTATAAACTTGTTGTTTGAAATAAATAGTAATAAAACTGAGAATTTTAGAGGGGATCAATAAAAAATATATCTAAATCCATTAAGTAAACAATTCAATTAAAATTTTTGGGCTTTTATTAGCAACGACCTTAATTTTAGCAAAGTATCCGTTAAATTTACGCGATTATATCCGTAAAATGCGAGTGTTAGAAAGCTTGTGCTTGTAATTCCTCCCAAAATCACTTTACGAATATTCTCGGGAGTGAGTCAGCACAAAAACTCCATCATCAAAGTACTCAAGGGGATAACCCTTGAACCAAGAACGATAGTCCAAAACTATCAATCTGTCACTTAAGTTTACCACTAGCCACCAGACTAACTTGGTGACTAGCTTTTTTTTAACATGGAAGAAGTCAATAGCCATTCCATAGATTACTAAGTGATAGTGAGAAAGCTAGTCAATTTATGACAGTGAACAAATTTGGACTTTACCCTGTAGATTACCTGGGAACACTAAAGTGGCATTTAACTCCCACTCCCGTATTACTTGAAAAGACAATTGACTTCCAATCCGCATTACTTGGAGACACTAAAGTGATAATTATCTAAGCTCTACCTTACAGAGACTACATCAGTAGGAATGACCCAATATATACAAATAAGTTTCAATAGTATGTTTAGACATTAATAATAATGATTGTCTTTTTCGGAGGCATTAACTCTTTGTCGTACTAAGCCTAATCACCCTACCAAAGATTGAAAAAACTGTCCGCAAACCATTATTTTGTAATACAAAACAAAATTAAGGAAATACATACATCTCAATATAGGGGTCAATGTACTTCTGAATGCTTTTGTCACCTTATTCTGTTCTCCAGCGGGTTCAAGTCTATAGCAATTCCACTGATGTTGCCAATCTGGCTTCAAACATTATAGCCAATCCATTTGCGTCTCCCTATTACAGTGTATAGCTTTTGGTGGTCTATTCTTCGCCAGAGCGCATAATTAGATATATGGTTCAATCCATTTGCGTCTCCAAATTTCAATACATACGGTTTTTGGTCTGTTCATCGCCAGAGAGCATAATTAGCTATATAATTCTCGGCCAAAAAACACATAGGATCTTGAGAAAACAGCGATTCGCGATTGACAAATATGATTAGATTCTTAAGTGACACATGGTGGAGACAAGTACAATTATAGGAAAGCGATTGGGCGAAGACATAGTCTTGGGCGTGTTGTAACAATTTTTCATAAACTAACCGACACGAATGAAAAAAGAATTGAGCTGAATCAGAATCTGGCGTTAGAATTTTGCAATTTGAGATATCGAACCTGAAGTTTGAAACAATGTTTTGTCCTATTTAGACGATGAATTTTCCATTAACTACTCGATAGTAACTAGAGATATGGTTAAAACTAATGCCTCGTCAGATATGTAAATACACCCTGTATTTGATCCCAAGTGAGGTGCACTTCGACAGGCTTTCAATTAAGTGACGATATACATACTATTGGTTACTAAACTGCTTCCATATAAGCATTAGTTTGGTTTTCGGAAGAAGTCAATTATGAACCAAACTCTTTTGTATTACCGATATTGGCCAATTTCTAAGACAGTTACGAACGTTAAGGTCACTTACGAAAGGGTTCCTTATATGGAGACGATGATCAAATGTGGATCGATTTTATATAATTTTGAATACCAAACAAAATATTTGTAGAAAATTTCAGGCCTCTTGCCCCTTCCAAATCTGAATCATCTTGGTATCTAATGTGTATGTACCTTTGGGGTCTATGGCTAATATTTCGAATGTTAAGAGAAAAAGAACATCTTTTTTAATGCTAAAAACTAATAATTTGGATCAAGTTTGTCAGATTCAGATTAAACTTGACATGATATACTTCGGATTAAAATCGGTAAGAATACAAAACTTAACTTGTTATACTTAAAACCGAAACTATACTATACAATTTCCCAAAGTTTTTAAAATTTTATGGAATTTAAATTAACCCTTTCCTATAAGGTATATAGAAAGATCCTTGGGTGATTTTGCTTTGATTGCCTTCCTAGATATTGACGGTGCTTTCAATAATGTGAAATCGTACTATATTGAAAATTTCCTCTCAAATAGGATTAAGTCTCAAAACGGGCACTTAGAGTAACTTATCACCGGGCACTTCTCTTGTAAAGTATATAGAAAGATCATTGGGTGATTTTGCTTTGATTGCCTTCCTAGACATTGACGGTGCTTTCAATAAAGTGGAATCGTACTGTATTTGTATTGCTCTCTGTAGTATGAGGGCTTAATAGAACCGTTTTTGGTTTTATTAAAAAATTTCCTTCAAATAGCATTTGTGGATCTCTTTTGGGGGCGCTTATAGGAACTTCTGAAGGTGTAGTGTCATGGAACATGACTATTAATAATCTTTTCATCAGATTAGACTCACTTGGTTTCAAAAAAGTCGTTAGCACCTGCATCATAGACATTTGATTTCAAAACAGATCTGAGTTGACTCAGATCCACAAAAAGTTTAGCCGGATTTGGGATTAATATAATATTTGTATTAACTTTATTTTAATATAACTAACACATTTTTCTGCACTTTTTGCTAAAACATTGTCAGATTTTTAATTAAAAATTTTAAATATTCAAAGGAATCTTTATAAAAACACGCGGCTATAAAGTGAACATAAAATTTCTTAATTTATAGTTTTGTTAATTTTTATGTTTATTAATATTATCTCACTTTTTTTTTTTTTTTTTTTTTTTTTGATTCAAAACAAACCGGTTTCAATAGATGACACTAATAACTAACATTAATTATTTAAAACCCACAAATTGTATAAATTGGAAATACTAAATAACAATTTTTTTTTTTAAATTACAAAAAGAAAAAATTGTTTGGCAATAACTAACAAATTGGGTTTAAACGCCAAAAAACACTTTTTTAAAGATTTATTTAAAAGAACCGGAATTAAACAATAGAAAATAAAACATTTTGTCAGTGAATAGTTTATTGTTTGTTTGTTTTTCTTTATTTTGATGACATGTTAAATGACATATTAAATGACATTTGTATACCAAGGTTGCATTTGCCGAGAAGATAAAACATTTTTTTGTTTTTGCACAACTTTTGTTGGAATTATTACAGCATTTCTTTAGGCTTTTTATTGATTTATTTTTTATTTTTATTGTTGTTGTTGTTGTTGCTTATCTCAATAATAACAACAACATTTTGAGATAAACAAAATAAAAGGAAATTTTAGCCTAAAATTAAGTTACTATGTTTGTTTAAGTTAATCTCTCTATTTTTAATACATTTTATCAGTTTATTAACTTGTTTTAATGACAACTTCACTTACTTTTAATATAAACAAACTTAATAACAGTTGTTTTCACGAAAAATAAACTTGGTTTTTGCTAAATTTTTCAATTTTCCGAAATTTTAAGATAAACTGATTAAATCCTTTCTCCCTTTCCTCCCACAATGTTAAACCCAATAGTAATTGGTAAGAGAGGTGACAAAATCTTCAGCGTATTTCTATTACACCTGTGTATACACACACACAAACACTATTGCACTTTTTTATACATTTTTTTTTGATTATTTTTTTCTTAAGAAATTATATTTTGACAGATTTTGCTTTTAACAAAAAAACACAAATTATTACATTTTCTTTAACATTTCTATATTTTTCTTATATGTTTAGCAAATAATTTCTTTAATTATTTCATTAAAAAAAATCACAAATTTATAATTTTAACGCACGCTCTTCTTGGTCGTATTTTAGTATAGAATTTTTGTTTTCTTTTCCTCACACACAAAAATTCTTTTTACATTGACTCACACACACTCGCACGCTTCCGTTGCAACGTTTTAAAAAACATCCGTTAACCGTGGTTGACGTTACTCAACTAAAATTGAAGTTTTAAAAGATGTGTAATTGAACCAACAATCAACCACCACTAGCAGCAGCTATTCAGCAAGTGTTTGTTTGTGTTTTGTCAATAACAAACTACAAATTCACCACACTTTAGTAAAGAGCAGCAACAATAAAAAAGAGAGTTTGTTTACTTAAAGAGCATGTTCCCTAATATTGTAAACAAGTGTTTTTTGTTTTTGTATATAACAAAACAGTAAGTTAAAGAAAAATCAAAACAAACCGTCAACCAAGAAAAGCTTTAATCAATAGAAAACCGTTAAAATAAACAGCTGTTTAGAGGTAAACTACAAACTGGTGATTTAAATATAAAAAATTAAAGAAGAAACAGAATTTAAAGGTAAAACTTTTTAATTTAATTAAAAGAAGTTTATGTTCCTTCATAATCAACGTCCAAGGGATGATTTAAGCGGTTCAAAAGTGATTGTTTTCTAACTCTACAAGAGCTTGCAAAATCATTGAGATTTCTCACAGCTACAGGCTGGATCTGGAGTCTCTTCGACTCTACTTGAACTACCACGTTAAACAACCAACTCTAGCAGAATTTTCAAAACGTTTAGATTAGAATGGATACCTTCAAAAGCCAGAAAATATGATTTTACACTAACGAAATGCTGCTTAAAGGATAAAAAGCAAAACCTTTTCTGCACCGCAGCATTATTTGTGCTGAAAAGCGGATTCATTAGTACAACTCGAAGTGTAAGAGACCTTTCAACCTGCACTAACGACAACACTAAGGTAATGTTCTGTATTTAAAGTATTTGGACCAAAAGTGTAATAACTATTATAAGCTGCTGAATTCTGAACAGATCATCACAAAGAACTGCCGTTGTAGAGTATATTGAAAGATCCTTGATCCTTGCCTTCCTAGACCTTGAGGGAGCTTTCAATAATGTGAAATCGCACTGTATCTATCCTCATCACTCTAGTATGGAGCTTGTTATATCCGTTTCTGGTTTTATTGAAAACTTCCTCTCATATAGTATTATTGCATCCATTTCGGGGAGTATATTGAAAGATTCTTGGATGATTTTACTTTGGTTGCCTTCTTAGACATTAAGGGAGCTTTTAATAATGTGAAATCGCATTGTATTTGTCCTAATCTCTCTAGTATGGAGTTTGATAACTCCGTTACTGGTTTTATTGAAAACTTTCCTCTCAAATAGTATTATTGGTTCCATTTTGGGAGACGCTTAAGTCTCCAAATAATCGCCTAGAGGAACTTCTCAAGTTGGAAAGTTACGCCAGCTCAATCTAACCAGATAGTTAGATAATTAGTTATGGATCATGGACAGTGCTCTTAGTGCTCTGGTAAAACGTAACTTGTGTTGTTCTCTGAAAATTATTAGTTCCCTCGTTCTTTCTTCCACGTTTTAATTGTGATGTTCTATTTTTATCTGATAGTACCAATTATTTAGAAGTGATTCTTGATAGGAAGTTGTCATGGAGTGTGAATGTGCTCTCGAGGCCTAAAAAAGTCACTATATAGGCATAGCTATATACTGGGGTATAAATCCTTAGAACGTAAAATGGCTATTTGAGACTGTAATTAAACCAATTATGCTTTTTGGAGTGGTCGTCTGATGTCAGGCACCAGACAAATTGCGTAATAGGCTTCGTCTTGAAAAGGTTAGAAGAGCATAACCTGGTGATGCTAAGAAAACACCTCCTACTAAAGCAATGTTCGTTCCGCCTAACAGGTTATCATTGGACATCATGGCTACATAACTAGCAATTTTCAATGCGGTTTATTTCCAGGAAACATGTTATGATTGTTGAAATTTTCTCTAACAATATCATTGATAATTGTATTCCGGTACCAACATTTAACAGAAGCGTTAAACCTGTTATCTCCAAGGACTACAATTTTATTCTCTTCAATATGGGTAGTTTGTTTGTTCATACAGATAGATCCAAAATTGGATTGGTGGTCGCACCTTCATTGAATAATTTGGCACTAAAATCTGATCCAAACTCAATGATGACTACATTATACTTCAAGCTGAAATATCAGTGATTATAAGGACAGCCAAGCTGCTATTAAGTCCCCGATCGTCGTGCATAACACATCTGAACTAGTATATTAATGCCAAGCGTCTTTAAATGAGAAGGCGAGACATTTAAATAATCTACTATCTAGCAAAACCACAGCCAAGGGAATGAGCTTGAAATAATTAGCGGGAAAAGAAGAACCTGTTGAGCTTGGGTCAAGGAGTAATTAGACAATTACGGCAACAGTATTGCTGATGTACCGGCTAAAGCATTAATGTTGTTGGAAGAATGGGATATAGAGAAGTTTTGTAATGTTCCCATCATAGCCGTCAAGAATCATGTTTCGAAAATATGCTTTATGAAAGTTAAAGCTCTCCCTTTCTTCTGTTGATCCTCTACTTCAATCTATGTTGATCTCTTTTATATTCGCTAGTAGGCAAGCACAAAGGGGCCAAGCCTGAAGAACATAACCTATTGCAGAGATCCTGCACCGATTTCCAGCAATCATTAGCTGAAAAACGCTCAGAATATGCGGCATTATCTATTAATAACTATTTAAAAAAAGCTATATAGAAAGCTTTTTGGATGCGATGCCGATTTAGCCGATTCTAATGCGCTTAAATGATTACTTTCCAATGATGATATTACAAGTAAAATAACAATTTCCCGGCCACAAGTGTCAAAATCCTTCTGTGTGATTGCCTAAAATAACCTCAAACGGGTCACTATAGATGAGAGTGCTTTCGATGAATCCATATTCAAGTTAAACTTCTGATTTGGTGATGTAAAAGCTTGTAAGGGAGTTCTGAAACTTTCTTAAAGAGAATCCGGGAACTCCGAAGTTCTTCTTGCCGCTCTAGATATCTATGAAGAGATCTAGGATATTCTTGAATTGCAAACCACTATACCCAACAGCCGTTTAGAGTTGAGTCACTGTACAAGCATCTAACCCAATATCTAAATCCAAAGTAAAAAGTAACTTTAAATAAAAACACAAACAACTATAAAACCTTATAACTTATTCAAGTGTAAGCACCGTTATCGTCATAATTCCAGAAATCAATATTTAAAACTAAATAAATATACGAAAAAAACTTATTTTCTTTGATCTCGTGCCAAACACTATGCGGAATATAAAGCATTCAAATAATACACTTCCAGTAACATCTTTGTTTTTTGCTTTTTTTTTTTTGAAACAGATTTATTTACCAACCCACACGTGACGTCATTATTACAAAACTTTACAAACGACTCTATAGATTAAAACCACCCTCTTGTATGTAAACGATTCCCGAATACAAAAATCTCTGTAGAAAATCATCATTATTATGCATTTTACAAATGACATTTCTTGAACCTAAAACAAAACATTTATTACCATTTCAAATGCAATTTCGATATGAAAAACAGAAGCAAATGTGAACAGAGTTTGTTGGAGGAGGGGTTGCAAAATGCAGTTTTTCGAAAATCACCCTTAAAAGTGTTTGGACCACAAAAATATCTGCTCTAATAATTTACTATAATTTATGTTTAGTCATGTTTGCCGTAATCTCCTGTGGGTATTATTTAAGCATTTGTTTTAATTAGGAATATTTTTGAGTGTCTGTGGAGATTTCCTATTTGCTGATAGTGAGATCAAAGTCAACAAAACTATAAATGTTTTATTAACAGAAGTGGTGGCGCAAGGTTTGCCCTTGATAAGAAATGTTAAAGCAAAAGAATTTATATAGAGACTCAAGGTTATTAAGTAGCTAAAGGACATTGTTTTAATTGCAAAACTATCATAACATGTTTGTTTATAAGTTTTTAACTCTTTGGATACTATAAAGGTAAATTTATTTTACTCCTTATGTGAATTAAGAATAGGAAAAGTTTCGATATACAAATTGGACTAAATAGATAGATTAGACTATAGACTAGACTATAGATTAGACTATAGACTAGACTATAGACTAGACTATAGACTAGACTATAGACTAGACTATAGACTAGACTATAGACTAGACTATAGACTAGACTATAGACTAGACTATAGACTAGACTATAGACTAGACTATAGACTAGACTATAGACTAGACTATAGACTAGACTACAGACTAGACTATAGACTAGACTATAAACTAGACTATAGACTAGACTATAGACTAGACTATAGACTAGACTATAGACTAGACTATAGACTAGACTATAGACTAGACTATAGACTAGACTATAGACTAGACTATAGACTAGACTATAGACTAGACTATAGACTAGACTATAGACTAGACTATAGACTAGACTATAGACTAGACTAGACTAGACTATAGACTAAACTACAGACTAGACTACAGACTAGACTATAGACTAGACTATAGACTAAACTACAGACTAGACTACAGACTAGACTATAGACTAGACTATAGACTAGACTATAGACTAAACTACAGACTAGACTACAGACTAGACTATAGACTAGACTATAGACTAGACTATAGGCTAGACTAGACTATAGACTAGACTATAGGCTAGACTAGACTATAGACTAGATTAGACTAGACTAGACTATAGTCTAGACAAGACTATAGACTAGACTAGACTAGACTAGACTATAGACTAGAGTAGACTATAGACTAGAGTAGACTATAGACTAGAGTAGACTATAGACTAGACTATAGACTAGACTATAGACTCGATTATAGACTACACTAGACTAGACAAGACTATAGACTAAACTAGACTAGTCTAGTCTAGATTAGACTATAGACTAGACTATAGACTAGACCATAGACTAGACTATAGTCTAGACTAGACTATAGACAAGACTATAGACTAGACTATAGACTAGACTATAGACTAGACTATATACAAGACTATATACAAGACTATAGACTAGGCTATAAGACTAGACTAGACTATAGACTAGACTATAGACTAGACTATAGACTAGACTATAGACTAGACTATAGACTAGACTATAGACTAGACTATAGACTAGACTATAGACTAGACTATAGACTAGACTATAGACTAGACTATAGACTAGACTATAGACTAGACTATAGACTAGACTATAGACTAGACTATAGACTAGACTATAGCCTAGACTATAGACTAGGCTATAGACTAGGCTATAGACTAGACTATAGACCAGACTATAGACTAGACTATAGAGTAGACTATAGACTAGAATAGACTAGAATAGACTATAGACTAGACTATAGACTAGAATAGACTATAGACTAGAGTAGACTATAGACTAGAATATAGACTAGACTATGGGCTAGACTATAGACTAGACTATAGATTAGACTATAGATTAGACTATAAACTAGGCTATAGACTAGACTATACTATAGACTAGACCATAGGCTAGACTATGGACTAGACTATAGACTAGACTATAGACTAGACTATAGACTAGACTATAGACTGGACTATAGACTAGACTATAGACTAGACTATAGACTAGACTATAGACTAGACTATAGACTAGACTATAGTCTAGACTATAGACTAGACTATAGACTAGACTATAGACTAGACTATAGACTAGACTATAGACTAGACTATAGACTAGACTATAGACTAGACTATAGACTAGACTATAGACTAGACTATAGACTAGACTATAGACTAGACTATAGACTAGACTATAGACTAGACTATAGACTAGACTATAGACTAGACTATAGACTAGACTATAGACTAGACTATAGACTAGACTATAGACTAGGCTATAGGCTAGGCTATAGACTAGACTATAGACCAGACTATAGACTAGACTATAGAGTAGACTATAGACTAGACTATAGACTAGAATAGACTATAGACTAGAGTAGACTATAGACTAGACTATAGACTAGACTATATACAAGACTATAGACTAGGCTATAAGACTAGACTAGACTATAGAGTAGGCTATAGAGTAAACTATAGACTAGACTATAGACTAGACTATAGACTAGACTATAGACTAGACTATAGACTAGACTATAGACTAGACTATAGACTAGACTATAGACTAGACTATAGACTAGACTATAGACTAGACTATAGACTAGACTATAGACTAGACTATAGACTAGACTATAGACTAGACTATAGACTAGGCTATAGGCTAGGCTATAGACTAGACTATAGACCAGACTATAGACTAGACTATAGAGTAGACTATAGACTAGACTATAGACTAGAATAGACTAGAATAGACTATAGACTAGACTATAGACTAGAATAGACTATAGACTAGAGTAGACTATAGACTAGAATATAGACTAGAATATGGGCTAGACGGTCACGACGGCTATAAGAACGAACAACACTGTATTTCAGAGGAGATTCAATGTGGCAAAGCTGAAAACCCCTGAAATCGCCAACCTATTCAGTAACGAATTATCAGGATGTGCCTCAATTAATAGGGAAACCCAAACATGGCAACATGTCCGGGAAATTTTCACTAAGGCAGCGGAAAAACACCTGGGGTTTAAGACTACTGGTAGAAGGGAATGGATTAGCGATACCACGTGGAACTTAATTCAGCAGAGGAAAGTCGCAAAGAACGCTGTGCATACCAGTAAAACCCGCTCTAATAAGGCCACTCAACAGCATCTTTACACGCGCCTTAATTCTGAGGTGAAACGCAGTGCTCGGAAGGATAAACGCAATTGGACCAACAATATAGCGAATGAACTTCAGGCAGCGGCTGAAACCCATCGTCTAAGGGACCTGTATATAACTGTTAACAAGCTGACAAATAGGAAATTATCGACCGGAAAACCTTTAAGGAACGATGCGGGGGAACTTATAACATCTAAAACTCAACAGGTTACACTTTGGGAGAGTTTTTACTCCGGCATGCTATCAACACCTACTGCTCAATGTCAACCCATTTGCGAATGTGCTTCACATACACCAAATACCAGCATCTCTACTGATTGCCCTGGAATAAGTGAAATTAACAACTCGATACGATCCCTTAAACCAAACAAATCACCTGGTTTGGATAAAATCTCTCCGGAACTTCTTACAGCCGACCGAACAACTAGTGCACGATTGCTAGAACCCATTATTAGGGCATTTTGGACCCATGAATCCCTGCCGGATGAGCTGTCTGATGGAGTCATCATAAATCTTCCCAAAAAGGGTGATTTGACCAACAAAAAGAATTGGAGAGGCATAACCTTGCTAAGCATGATAAATAAGGTAATTGCACATATTATAAACAATAGGCTATCGACAACAATTTCCCCATCTCTCAGAAATGAGCAAGCTGGTTTTCGCTCCGGTAAATCATGTGTTGACCAAGTTAACAGTCTTAGGATTATAGTTGAGCAATCAGTGGAACGGAGGTCACCATTATACCTCATATTTATAGACTTTGAGAAGGCCTTTGACACACTCAACCATAACGCTATATGGAACTCTCTTGTATGTAAGGGTGTCCCCGAAAAACTAACTCGGCTAATCAAAGCCCTTTACAGGAATGCCACTTGCCGTGTGCTGCATGAAGGACAACTGAGCAACAGGATTACAGTTAAAACTGGAGTTAGACAAGGCTGTGTCTTATCACCTCTACTTTTTAACTGCGTCCTCGATGATGTAATGCATAAGGCAACAAGTCGTCATAATAGAGGCATTATGTGGGGCTTACAAGTACGGTTGGAGGACCTAGATTATGCCGATGATATATGTCTACTTAGCCACTCATTCTCAGAGATGCAGTCTAAAATTTCTACCATCAGTGACATTGCAAAATTGGTTGGGATGAAGATAAATATACCCAAAACAAAATCGCTCCGCATTAATAGCAACACAGATCGACGTTTCTTCGTAGATGAACAAGATATTGAAGATGTTAAGTCCTTCTGCTACTTGGGTAGCACAATTGATACTACTGGTGGCTCAGCAGCGGATATATCCAGTCGCATAAATAAGGCACGGAATGCATTTGCACAGTTAAACCCGGTTTGGAAATCTTCCAACATTTCGAGACAAACCAAGATAAAATTGTTTAACTCCAACATAAAATCAACTCTGTTGTACGGCTGCGAAACCTGGAACATGGCACCACGTGACGTGCAAAGTCTTCAGGTATTTCTCAACAAATGCCTCCGCAAGATCTTACGTATTTTCTGGCCCGTAACAATATCCAACCACCAACTTTGGATAGAGGCAAACCAGCAGAATATTAAAACAGAAATAATTAAGCGGAAATGGAGCTGGATAGGTCACACCCTTCGTAAACCAGACGATGATATTGCCAAGAAATGCCTAGACTGGAACCCGCAGGGTAGCAGACGAGCAGGGAGACCAGCGCACACCTGGAAGCGGCAACTAATAACAGAACTCTCGAGACTGCGCATGAAGTGGAACGAAGTCAAACACAGAGTCGAAGATCGAGATTATTGGAACCAACTTGTTATGGCCCTATGCTCCCCCGAGAGTGAAAGGAACATATATATATAGATATATGGGCTAGACTATAGACTAGACTATAGATTAGACTATAGATTAGACTATAAACTAGGCTATAGACTAGACCCATAGGCTAGACCTATGGAACTAGACTAGGGAATAAAGACCTAGACCTACAGACTAGACTATAGACTAGACTATAGGACTAGGACTAGCTAGAAATAGACCTAGACTATAGAAACTAGAATATAGACTAGACTATAGACTAGGACATAGACTAGACTATAGACGAGACTATAGACTAGACTATAGACTAGACTATAGACTAGGACTATAGACAATAGACCTATAGACTAGACTATAGCTAGACTATAGACTAGACTATAGACTAGACTATAGACTAGACTATAGACTAGACTAGACTAGACTAGACTATAGACTAGACTATAGACTAGACTATAGACTAGACTATAGACTAGACTAGACTAGACTATAGACTAGACTATAGGCTTGACTGTAGACTAGACTATAGACTAGACTATAGACCAGACTATAGACTAGACTATAGACTACACAAAAGAGTAGACTATAGACTAGAATAGACTATAGACTAGAGTAGAATATAGTCTAGAATATAGACTAGACTATGGGCGAGACTATAGACTAGACTATAGACTAGACTATAGATTAGACTATAGATTAGACTATAAACTAGGCTATAGACTAGACTATAGACTAGACTATACTATAGACTAGACCATAGGCTAGACTATGGACTAGACTATAGACTAGACTATAGACTAGACTATAGACTAGAATATAACTAGACTATAGACTAGACTATAGACTAGACTATAGACTAGACTATAGACTAGACTATAGACTAGACTATAGACTAGACTACAGACTAGACTATAGACTAAACTATAGACTAGACTATAGACTGGACTATAGACTAGACTATAGACTAGACTATAGACTAGACTATAGACTAGACTATAGACTAGACTATAGACTAGACTATATACTAGACTAAATAGTAGACTAAAACTAGACTATAGACTAGACTAAAGAGTAGACTATAGACTATTGGCTAGACTTTAGAGTAGACTATAGACTAGACTTTAGAGTGGACTATAGACTAGACTATTGAGTAGACTATTATTGGTCCATGGAAACTGCAAACTTCTAGGACATCTTGGTTTCATCATTAATGAACAGATAAGGAAACAAACAGTTGAATTTTTAAATTTTTGAGGAATGTTTTATATGAATTTATTTTCAAAACCACAAAAATTAATTTATTTTAATTGTAAAACGAGCACTTAAAATTAGTTTGTAATGGGATTCCTTTTGTTATATAAACAAAATTATAAACTTAACATTAGGAAGGTTTCATAAATAATATGAATGTATTTTAATAAACATAAAAAGGTTTAAGTAAATCATAGAAAAAATTGTAAAATAAGAAAAATTTCCAATGAAATGCTATGGCGTCTAAACAAACAAAATAACAGGATTTAAAAAGAATTAACGATAGATAAATAATTTCCATTAAAATCAGATAATTTGTTTATTAAGACGTCAGAGCTAATACTTTAAAATAATATTGTAAGAAAAGCGAGGTTTTGGGATATTTAAAATTTCTGTAAAAGAGTTCAAAGTTAAAAGTTGTAAATAATCCAAATATGGAATAAATTAATAAATAAACTTAGAGTTGTATTTGTAAATCTAATTTTCTAATAATATCCTTAGCCTTATTCAAAGTAGCCGGGCCATGCGAATTAGAAGTGGACATTTTATATAGATCCTGCATGTATTTATCTATATTCTCCACCGTGGCACCATTGGGTGCCGTTGGCAAGGGCAAACCCCCCAAGGCCAAAGCCAATTTCCGTTTTAATTTATCCAAATAAATTTCCAAAAGTCTATTCTTCTCTTCTAACTCATTGTTCTCGGTGACCATTTTCTCTACCCCGAATTTCATATTCTCAACATGTTTCTCTAATACCGAATTCTGTTGTTCCAAATCCGTTTTAGATTTCCTAAGAGAACGCAATTCCATGTCATAGATTTTATTATGTTCCAGAAATTCATTAGTGAAAATGGGTATTTCTCCGGGTGTGGGTGTAACAATAGTGGAAGTGATATTACTGCTGCTGCTGGTCGCTGTGTTAGAAGTATTGGCAGTTGTTGTATTTGTATTATTGTTGGCGGTAGTGGAAGTGGGCGGTGTGGGTGTACGTTTACGTTTGTTTTTATCATTTCCACTCAACTTCTCTGTGACCTGTTGTGCTGTAGAGGTTGAGGGCATGTTGTCTTTACTCATTTTATCCTTGCTGATGTTATCCTTAGCCTTCGCTGTTTCATTTATTTGTGGTTTATCTTTAAGTACTGGTTTGTTATTAGAGGACGTAGCTGCTGCAGCGTTAGCTGTTGGATTAGGACTATTGTTTTCACCGGTTTTACGTATTTTATTTTTAGCCAATTCACTGGCTAAAATATCGGGTCGTGATTTTAGAAAACTATGCAATTCCTTAACATATCTGCAAAGAGAAAGTTGTCAAACAAAAGATGATTTTTCAAAAAACGTTGTTTTCTTTGAAGAGTGCAGGATCTTTTTGAGTGTTTAGGTTAAATACAAGAGGACAAATATAAAGTTGAGGTTTTATCATAAACAAAGTGAATTATTGAGTTTAAAATTAAGTGAAGAACATATTTTTTGTAGACAATTTAACAACTAAGAACTTATTCGCTAAAAAAATTAAATATATGGAGATTTTTATCCAATTTATTTAAAATCTAGGCAAATCCACCAAACTATAGTATATACTAGACTGTAGACTGGACTATAGACTAGGCTGTAGACTAAACTATAGACTAGACTATAGACTAGACTATAGACTAGTCTATAGACTAGACTATAGACTAGACTATAGACTAAACTATAGCCTAGACTATAGACTAGACTAGACTATAGACTAGACTATAGACTAGACTAGACTATAGACTAGACTATAGACTAGACTATAGACTAGACTATAGACTAGACTATAGACTAGACTATAGACTAGACTATAGACTAGACTAGACTATAGACTAGACTAGACTAGACTATAGACTAGACTATACCCTAGACTATAGACTAGACTATAGACTAGACTATAGACTAGACTATAGACTAGACTATAGACTAGACAATAGACTAGACTATAGACTAGACTATAGACCAGACTATAGACTAGACTATAGACTAGACTATAGACTAGACTATAGACTAGACTATAGACTAGACTATAGACTAGACTATAGACTAGACTATAGACTAGACTATAGACCAGACTATAGACTAGACTATAGACTAGACTATAGACTAGACTACAGACTAGATTACAGACTAGACTATAGACTAGACTATAGACTAGACTATAGACTAGACTATAGACTAGACTATAGACTAGACTATTGACTAGACTATAGACTAGACTATAGATAGACTAGACTATAGATAGACTAGACTATAGACTAGACTAGACTATAGACTAGACTATAGACTAGACTATAGACTAGACTATAGACTAGACTATAGACTAGACTATAGACTAGACTATAGACTAGACTATAGACTAGACTATAGACTAGACTATAGACTAGACTATAGACTAGACTATAGACTAGACTATAGACTAGACTATAGACTAGACTATAGACTAGACTATAGACTAGACTATAGACTAGACTATAGACTAGACTATAGACTAGACTATAGACTAGACTATAGACTAGACTACAGACAAGACTATAGACTAGACTAGACTATAGACTAGACTGGACTATAGACTAGACTATAGACTGGACTATAGACCAGACTATAGACTAGACTATAGACTAGACTATAGACTAGACTATAGACTAGACTATAAACTAGACTATAGACTAGACTATATACTAGAATAAAGGTTAGAGTAAAGACTAGACTTTAGTCTAGACTATAGACTAGACTATAGACTAGACTATAGGCTAGACTATAGACTAGACTATAGACTAGACTATAGACTAGACTATAGACTAGACTATAGACTAGACTATAGACTAGACTATAGACTAGACTATAGACTAGACTATAGACTAGACTATAGACTAGACTATAGACTAGACTATAGACTAGACTATAGACTAGACTATAGACTAGACTATAGACTAGACTATAGACTAGACTATAGACTAGACTATAGACTAGACTATAGACTAGACTATAGACTAGACTATAGACTAGACTATAGACTAGACTATAGACTAGACTATAGACTAGACTATAGACTAGACTATAGACTAGACTATAGACTAGACTATAGACTAGACTATAGACTAGACTATAGACTAGACTATAGACTCGACTATAGACTAGACTATAGACTAGGACTATAGACTAGACCTATAGACTAGACTCTAGACTAGACTATAGACTAGACTATAACTAGACTATAGACTAGACTATATACTAGACTTAAGGTTAGAAGTAAAGGACTAGCTATTACAGACTATAGACTAGCTAGGCTTAGACTATAGCACTAGACTATAGACTCGACTATAGCTAGGACTATAGAATAGACTTATAGACTAGGACTATAGACTAGACCTATAGACTAGACTATTTTAGACTAGACTATAGACTACTAGACTATAGACTAGGACTATTAGACTAGACTATTAGACTAGGACTATAGACTAGACTATAGAACTAGACTATAGATCTTAGGACTAGGACTAGAGACTAGACTATAGACTAGACTATAGACTTAGACTATAGACTAGACTATAGACTAGACTATTAGTAACTAGACTATAGACTAGGACTATAGACTAGACTATAGACTAGACTATAGACTAGATATAGACTAGACTAAGACTTAGACTATAGACTAGACTATAGACTAGACTATAGACTAGACTATAGACTAGACTATAGACTAGACTATAGACTAGACTATAGACTAGACTATAGACTAGACTATAGACTAGACTATAGACTAGACTATCTCTGCTACTCACATCTATAAAGCTCTATTTATGGATGCTCTAAAAATTGCATGTGATGCAGTCATGCTAAGAAGAAGTCAGTCTGGAACCAAAGTACTGTTGGAAGTCTAATAACGCTGATCTCAGACGGGAATGTTTAAAAGCAGGACAAATATTTAAAAAAAAGGTTATAGGTCAAATATCCGGCGACATTCATAACAGACAGCCAGACGAGACCTCCAAATGTTTATCAGAAGGAGTAAACAAGAGTGCTTTAGGTGCTTTAGACTTGACTATAGACTAGACTATACACTAGACTATAGACTAGACTATAGACTAGACTATAGACTAGACTATAGACTAGACTATAGACTAAACTATAGACTAGACTATAGACTAGACTATAGACTAGACTATAGACTAGACTATAGACTAGACTATAGACTAGACTATAGACTAGACTATAGACTAGACTATAGACTAGACTATAGACTAGACTATAGACTAGACTATAGACTAGACTATAGACTAGACTATAGACTAGACTATAGACTAGACTATAGACTAGACTATAGACTAGACTATAGACTAGACTATAGACTAGACTATAGACTAGACTAGACTATAGACTAGACTATAGACTAGACTATAGACTAGACTATAGACTAGACTATAGACTAGACTATAGACTAGACTATAGACTAGACTATAGACTAGACTATAGACTAGACTATAGACTAGACTATAGACTAGACTATAGACTAGACTATAGACTAGACTATAGACTAGACTATAGACTAGACTATAGACTAGACTATAGACTAGACTATAGACTAGACTATAGACTAGACTATAGACTAGACTATAGACTAGACTATAGACTAGACTATAGACTAGACTATAGACTAGACTATAGACTAGACTATAGACTAGACTATAGACTAGACTATAGACTAGACTATAGACTAGACTATAGACTAGACTATAGACTAGACTATAGACTAGACTATAGACTAGACTATAGACTAGATTATAGACTAGACTATAGACTAGACTATAGACTAGACTATAGACTAGACTATAGACTAGACTATAGACTAGACTATAGACTAGACTATAGACTAGACTATAGACTATAGTCTAGTATATAGACTAGACTATAGACTAGACTATAGACTAGACTATAGACCAGACTATAGACTAGACTATAGACCAGACTATAGACTATATATAGACTAAACTATAGACTAGACTATAGACTAGACTATAGACTAGACTATAGACTAGACTATAGAGTAGACTATAGACTAGACTATAGACTAGACTATAGACTAGACTATAGACTAGACTATAGACTAGACTATAGACCAGACTATAGACTAGACTATAGAATAGACTATAGACTAGACTATAGACTAGACTATAGACTAGACTATAGACTAGACTATAGACTAGACTATAGACTAGACTATAGACTAGACTATAGACTAGACTATAGGCTAGATTATAGACTAGACTATAGGCTAGACTATAGACTAGACTATAGACTAGACTATCTCTGCTACTCACATCGATAAAGCTCTATTTATGGATGCTCTAAAAATTGCATGTGATGCCGTCATGCTAATAAAAAGTCAGTCTGGAACCAAAGTACTGTTGGGACTCTAATAACGCTGATCTCAGACGGGAATGTTTAAAAGCAAAAGAAATATTTAAAGAAAAAGATCATGGCTCAAATATCCGGCGACATTCATAACAGTCAGCCAGACGAGACCTCCAAATGTTTATCAGAAGGAGTAAACAAGAGTGCTTTAGGTAGAAATTGATTGGAATTAAAAGACAAGCCACAAGTGTTCACAAAGATTCTTAGCAATTGCCTTCAATATCTGGAGTTCCACTAGGATTGTTTTAGGCCCTCTTCTGTGGAATATAATGTGTAACGAGGTGCCAAAGCTGAACATAACTGAAGAAACGAATATCATCGGATTTGCTGACGATGTCGCGATGGCAGTAAGGGGGCACGCTTCTTAAATGAAATGTATTCATATGTAAGAAAGCGGTTGTAGAACCATTTCCTTAGATGCAATATGCTTAATTGTCCCACTAGATGTAGCAGCCGATAAGATATACAGACTGCATGCGGCGAAAAAAGTGAATGTTGGAGACAAAAGATGCAACAGACAGATCTTGGAGCGCAACGAAACCATGCAAAAATGGCAAAGTAGATGGGAAACACCCAAAAAGGATGATGGACTTATATACTGATTCCAGTAAATAAAGACAAGCTTGGAACGTAAACATGGAGGTTCCAGACTTTTACCTGCATAAATTTGGACGTGATGATTCACCGTATTGACTAGACTAGACTATAGGCTTGAAAATACACCAGACTATAGACTAGGCTAAACTATAGAATTGACTATAGACTAGATAATAGACTAAACTATAGACTAGACTATAGACTAGACTTTAGACTATATTATGGACTAAATATTCCATTTCGTTTCTGAATAAAATGAAGTTTGAACTAATATTGGACATTTTTACTTTTGTTTAAAGGACTTTAAAATGACGAAAAAATTACAAAGGATAACACTTTTTTGAAGTTAAAACACTTTTATCAAGAAATATTTTAAAGAGTTTATATTCATTAAATACTTACAAAATATGATAAAATGACTGTATTTGTTTTTCACAGGTAGTGCGTATAGTAGGACTGAAAATAAACTATTAAATTTATACTTTCTTTTGATACGCCTTCGACTACCTGATCGTTGCAGTGTTGCATTATTTGCAATATTGCAAGGAAATAACAAAAATTCTATTATAATTTTTATCCTTATTTAGTCTTGCTCAATTTCTTTCATTTTCTCTTTGAGAGTTAGAAAGATTTACAAATTTTTTGTCAGTGTATTCTAATCATTACAGAGGTGCATTATTTACATTGTGACGCAGATTGGGACGAAGGAGTTGCGACGGGTCCCCTTTTTAAAAAATAAAGAGTAAGTATTAAAAAACAAAATATCACAAAATTAGTGACGGTTAAATCTCCAAAAAGAGAACTATTTCCGGAATTGTTATAACGATGTTTAGTTTCTTTGAAGCTTCCCTAAATTTTGTAAACGGGATGACAAATTTGAACCTAAAAACATTGATAAAAGTACTGAAGTTACTGAACCGTTGCATAGAAAAACTATTTCGTTAATCATGCTTTCACATAATTTGTTCCAAAAATAAGAATTTTTCAGC